TATAAATAAATCGTCTCCTGTGAAATATATAATATGAAAATAGATTTAAAAAATTTACTTTTCTCTAACTAATGCTATTTTCAATAAATAATAGATGAAATTTTTTAATTAGGTTGACCGAAGTGCAAGTCCTTAAAGAAGAAAGAAACGGATACTTAATTGTTACCGAACTGATTGCATTTCAAGTGCAATGGCTAGATTAAAGAAGTGCACGGACAAAGATATATCTGTATTACTTGAAACAAGTTCAGAGTCAAATGAATTCGAAGAACTGGACGAATCTTATGTGCCGAAGATAAGCACTGATAATAATTCTTTCGACCTGTCTGATTCTGACGAGATCTTTGACGGTAATGTGCCGAAGAAAAGCACCAATAATGATTCTTTCGATTCTGACAAGATCTTTGACAATAACAAACGTTTCTTGTTACGAAGCAATGCGTTGCAAAAGGATCAAGTCTCTTTACGTTTAAGATTGAGACGTTCCACAGAACAAAGTATGTATAAGATAGACACCGAGTCGGAAGATGAAAAACCTAAGAGAGTAACCAGAAGTACAAAACGCCATTTGAAAAATTTGCAAGATGAAAATCAGATGCCGCGTAAGGGCGCGAGAAATATAAAGTTACCTAAAAGATATTCAGATTATGATTGTTATTCCTCTAAATCACAAGTGCAGAGAGATCAGGTTAATTACAATGAAAAGAACCTACTTCTTGGTTCAGTGGAGACTTTCAAAACGAGAAAACGAGAAACCAGCAAACACGCAGTCAAGAGTGATGATGATTCAGATTGCATTTGTGTTAGTCTTGTTCCAAAGACACCGTCTACAAGAACAAGATCAAAACTTAATAAACAGAATCCTGCTGATTCTGTAGACGATATCGATGACAATGCTACTCCTAAAGTTAGAACCAGATCAAAATATACATCTCCCTCTGTAGATAAAGAATTAAAAAGAGATAACGTAGATAAATCACCTAGTAAGAAGATATATCTTGAAACAGATGCAATGCAAAATGTTTCACTTAATTGTACTCCTAAAAGGTCGAGAATTCAGAGGAGCAGTCGCAGAACAATTTCAACTATGCCTAATAAATGTGAATCAGTACAAAAAGATGAGAATAAGAGTAAAGCTGATAAGGTGGACATTATACATAAAGCTGTTAAAGGTTTGTTTATAAAAAATAGTCAAGGAAACGATGACGCTATTGAATCACCAGTAGTACAGAATGGTTTGAGTACTCCAAAGGTTCGTGCATTGTTGAAGCAGAACGCTTTGACACCATCTATGAAAAGGAGAACTGATATGCTAGTTAAACCAGCAACGCCATTGCAAGAAATCAGAACTAGGTTGCATGTCAGTGCAGTTCCCAAGTCGTTACCTTGCAGAGAGGAAGAGTTTAATAACATTTATACATTTCTAGAAAGCAAGCTAATGGATAACAGTGGAGGGTAAGTTTATCTAGACGTTGCTTAACATATATTTGCATTTACTTTTCTGACATTATATGTATCGATATTATTGCAGAAGCATTTATATAAATGGCGTCCCAGGTACAGGGAAAACAGCTACTGTAAATGAGATTTTGAAATGTCTGAAGAGAGCTGTGGAAAAGGGTAAATTGGACCATTTTGACTTTGTTGAGATTAATGGTATGAAATTATCTGAGCCGAGGCAAGCTTACGTACAGATTCTAAAGCAATTATCTGGAAAAGTTTTAACGTGGGAACAAGCATATAATATGTTAGAAAAGAGATTTAGTAGCAATGCTAAGAGACCAATGACGTTGCTACTTGTAGATGAGGTATGTACATACACATCTTTATTCTTTGTATAATATACATTTTCATTTATTTTCTATTGTTTGTTATATCTTTTATATTGTGTTAAATAATCTTTATTTTATTGTTTCTTATTTGTTTCACTTATTTTTATTTTCTTTGTTTAAATTTTTGTAGCTTGATTTATTGTGTACAAAACGACAAGATGTAATATACAATTTATTGGACTGGCCTACAAAAGCCTCTGCTCGATTAGTAGTTATTACTATTGCCAATACTATGGATCTTCCAGAGAGAGTTTTAATGGGTAGAGTCACGTCACGATTAGGTCTTACCCGAGTAACGTTTGAACCATACAATTATAAACAATTATACGAGATAGTGTTAACTAGACTTAAAAACACAGACATTTTCGAAAATGAAATTATACAATTAATTGCACGGTAAGCATTATACTATACAGTCTTTTTATTTAAATGGTTCGTTAATATATTTTATGTATATGTATGTTTTAATGTTATTGTTGCATAACTTCATTATTCTTAAAATATTTGGTACATTTTGACTAGTGTATTGTATGAATTGTACTGACCTTTTGGTATTTTTAATTGTTAATTTTTATAATGAAATCGATGAAATTTGACTAACCATTTCGAAAACATTTTATATTTTGTATTTTAGTAAGGTGTCCGCAGTATCAGGCGACGCTCGTCGCGCTTTGGACATTTGTCGTCGAGTGGCAGAAATTACGGAAACACGCAACAGTACTACAGTAAACGTACAAGATGTGAATGAGGCTTTGTCGGAGATGATAATAAATCCGAAAGTTCAAGCGGTAAAACATTGTTCAAAATTTGAGCAAATATTCTTGCAAGCCGTATGTGTGGAAGCCAAACGAATTGGTGTGGAAGAAGTTTGTTTCAAAAATGTTTATAGACAATTTGATTCTTTATGTTCCTTTGATGGTTCGTATAAAAAAACTTGTCAATAATATAAGAAAAAATGCGATTTGTGTAAAAGAAACTTTATATTATTGTAACTTTTTTGTTTCCAGGTTACAAAACACCCAATATTACTCAGACACTTGATATTTGCTCCAAGTTGGGTGACTATAGATTGTTATTATGCGAATATTCAGGTAGCGATATACATCAAAAGATTCTGTTGAATATATCAAAGGATGAGATGCATTATGCATTACAAGAAGTTGATGTTGACTAAAAATGTACAAAATTTGAATAAATGCCTACAATTATTAATTTAATTTATTACTAGTTTAGTTTATTATATTAATTTTATTTCTTTTTGTGCAAAGAATTAGATATGCGCGAGTTTTTTTTTACGAATTACGACTTTACAATTTACTCGTCTCTAGATCATACAAATATAGTTTCCTTGTAATATTGTAATAAAGAAATATTAAAATGTAAATACATTCGATCAATAAAAATTAAAATAGTAAATAAATTCATTTCTAAAGATTTGATTTTTGTTTCTTCCGTGGACATATCGTGTCGCGGTAAGGTCGCATTTATTAAACGAATATGTTCAGAAATATATATGTTCGACTATATCATATGGCAACGAGTCAATCTATTATTGGAAAAATTACACAACTCAAGTTCACGGTAACCCTTCCTCTCTCATTTATTAATCTGTTGGTTAACAGTATTTTACTTCTTGTAATGTGTTGCGCAAATAATACTGTTTTTTGAAATTTTATAGTAAGTGAATCATTGATATTATTTGTAATACATATAAAAAAATCCAGAAGTAATGAATAGTAACGACATCGACGAAAATATTCTTTCATTATATAATGCTCAAAAGTGGGAAGAGATTGCTGCATTAGCTTCCGCGAATGGCAATCCTAAGCCTAGTCGATTATCATGGGTATTGCCTGACGTGAGTGACTTGTATTGGATAAACGATACTATACGAAAGTATAATTTATCTGGAATTGCAAGCATTGGTTGTGGTTGTGGATTATTGGAATGGTTGCTACAAAAATGTTCAGGTAAATCTTAAAAATAATATTGATATAAACATAGATCTCTTCGATAATATTTATAATTGTTTATTATTGTAACATATTTTTTTTCAAGGATTGGACGTTGTGGGTATAGAATTGGATAGTTCTTGGTGGAATAGCAAATATTCTCCTCCACAATTCTTAAAAAATATTATCTTTATTGAGAACAAGTCAAATTTTCAAGTGCCAAAACGATACGCAATGTTATTTTGCTACTTTAATAACTGTGCAGCATTCTGTAATTATATAGAAAATTACAAAGGTAATTTAATTTTTGTTATTGGACCTGCGCAAGGGAATAATTGTACAACAGATCCATTGCCATTCGATGAAAAATTTGAAAAATATAATTGGAAATTAATAAAGCAGAAAAAACTTGTGTGTTCCAACGATTATATTACTGTATACAGTAATAAATAATAAAAAGTATAATGTGTTTTAAATAATAATGAATAATAATTTTATAAAATAATATATACATAGAACATTATCTCCTGTGTACAATTTATTATTGAATATTTTTAATTTAATTTACTTATCCATTATATTAGCATGTTTTCAATACTTTATGTGATGCGCTGGATATGAGAATAATTTTAATGATGACATTGTTGGTTTTATAATTATCTTATTAAATAATTATCTTATTAATAAATTCTTGTAATTTTATTGTAATTAACTTGGCGTTATAGCTGATTATATTATGTACAATGTGCATAATATTTATTTTCCCTTTTCACAAGAACGAAATCAAGTCCGTTAATTCAAAATCCATTTCCCAAGATGTTCTAAAAATATTTTGTAAATAAAATTGTGCAGTTATGTTTGATACCAAGAATTGCAAAAAGCACTTATGTCCATTTCTATCAATGTAGATTGACTTTTTATCTTTTTTTAATTCTAGTAATTAGAGAAAGACAGCACATTAAATTCAGTTTATTATTTATGCGTAGATATCGATGATATTTACATGCAAACTTTGTAAACACGATTAACAATAATCGGGCAATAGACTGCATCAATCAAGTTGAATATTATCCAATTTTTAAGAGATTTACGCGGAATATAATTTTCACATTTATATGATACTTTCAAAAACTTTATCCATAAATCGCAATTCGAAGCACGAATAAATATAAAATAACGTAATTTTCGCACAAAGTTCAAAAGCAATTGATTGCGCCTCATTCCTCTCTCTGTCAAAAGCTATTGACATTTTGAATTACGGATCGATCGGTATGTTTCGATTTCGATATCGATTCCAATTCGACTCGATGCGATTCGATTTATCACATAGGGGGTGGATCGTGGATCTCAAGAGCCGATTAGTCGGCTAATCTGTACCGAGATTTAATTTTATATTTATGAAGTGACAATGTCGACGGAGAGAGATGTTATTGAATCGAAAAAGAACACGGAGGGCAAAAATAAGGACAAAATCTACTGTACATTTTGCCCCTCGAAAATGCTTAATGCTGGAGCAGCCACGTTAATAAACATGGACGTGAGTATTAGTACTATTTGTAGTGTGTATACATTAATATTGAAGAAATCTGATGTAGAATTTCTTAATTGATTATTATTCATTGCGCGTTTTAGTAATTTAATTATTATAGATGCCGCTGAATCATTAGACGATACATATTTTCAGCGCGTTACTACGCTTTACACGCCGAACGTTTATAACCTAAAAATTGTATTCTGTGCATTCGGTGCTTCATCGATTTGTATCAAGTTTTTAAATCTGTACCGATAAATTTGTACCAAGTTTTTAAATTTGTTTCAAACAATTGTTGTATAGTTCAATTTAATAATTGCCGATTTAACCGAGTAAATAATAAATACAGAAATTTTTTATTACAGTTTGCGCTGCCCTATATCCATAGTAGGGCACAAGACGAGGCTAATCAATCAGAAATAATTTCTGACTACTGGCTAATAGAGGATATGTATACTTTCGAAAATATCGGCGTGTCGCATACGGTAGGCAACGTCAAATATCTAGCTTGCGCCGATTGCGAGAGAGGTCCAGTAGGATGGCACGATTTGTCCACTAAAAAGTCGTACATTGCATTGTGTAGAGTAAAATATGAATGAATAGAGATAAGTGCTTAATAAAATTAATTTTCTAATTTTATACATGTATAAATGTACGCGTGTGCCACGTACATACACAACACAAGTGTACAGAAAGATGATATGCAGATATAAAATAATATTTATGAAGCTATGAATATGTGCTTTATATGTGTATATATACTTATAAAAACGTATTTCTTTAGTTAGATTGTATCTAAGTAAACTTATCTTTTTCAAATTAAATAGTTAGATAAGTATTTTATTTTTTTAAAAAAGACTTGTCATAAAAACAAGTCAAAAGTGTCAATGGTACTATCTTATACAGTAGAATTGTGTTCGTCTCACATAAAACCTCAGAAATTAATGTTTACACAGGAATAATAATAAAAAGGTATGATTTGCTGTTTTACTTGACAATTTAATATTTAATCACAATATGTTACAAACAGCTGATGAATCAGATAATTAATCCTCGATACAATGTAACGATTCAATAAATTCCATTTACAATTAAAAATCTGTTTACTTAATGAATGCATTTGTGTGACTCAATTATGCCGTTACGTATCACTTGCTTCACAATGCCGTTCGTATGCCGAGTATCACAAATGGGTTATACGTTACATATAATTAATATAATTAACCATACGTGTGAGGTGTTAGATCCGCGCGAGTACTTATACGTGTATACTTCTCGATACGATTTAAGTATATATGTATATGCGTATGTGTGTAATATATTTTTAATACTTGTCATGTATACATTATCTGTTTTGCAAAGCCTGTTTGCGATTTGGGGGGGAGCTCAGTTAATTCAGTATTTATTTATTTACGTCCCTTTTTTTATTTTATCTTCCTTTAATCTTAAATATTGCAAAAATAGTCGCGCGTTCGTGCGAGCCATACCGCGCCGATATTAATAACATCACAGCTTTATCTCTTCTTAAAACGCGTACGTCGCTAAAGCAAAACGCATTGTTCTTTCATTCGACGAAAGATGCGGACGTATATAATATATTATACAGTGTGTGCGCGCGCGCGCGCAGGCGAACGCACACGTACGCACGTACGCGTTACACAGCGCTAATTAATGAGAGGACAATCTTAAGTACGATAGTTTTGTGTAAACTGTTATCGTAATAGTAAGTCTGAGCAGAACGATAGACACATTAATCATAAGGATTGTATAAGAATTATATAACTACGTAAAGAATTATGTATGTAAATGAATAGAATGTTCGCAGAGATATAAAGTTGTCTTTGAATGTTCTTATAAGTAAAGGAATGAAGAATATATCTATATATAGCTAATATTATAGCTAATAAATAATAGCTATATAAGCAATAGCTAATAAATAATTATATATTTTGAAATATTTGAATAATTACATATCTTTTCCCACTTATGTAAACTCTTTTGAATGTAGGACAAGAGAATGTTACAATATCCACGTAAATATACTTGTCTACATTACCATTGCCATCACTGTGGCAATTTTGTTATTTTTTATCTAATAATACTATGTCCCGGTAAAAAATTCTTGATATAAAAACATTAGATATATATAATTATGTATAAAATATGTTCATGTATGTTTTATATTTCTCTTATTTCCTATATCTTATTTTTCCTGTATAAACGGACAGAGATTATACAAGAGAAAGAAGACATACATGAACATATTTTTATATAATTATATATATATGTATTGTTCTATATGAAAAATTTTTTACTGAGGTATATGTTTATCAACTTATGTACACATATGTCAACAAGAAGTTTTAAAGACGTATACAGATATATTAATCGTAAAATTCTATTTCTGTTGGGATCTAATAGAAAATTTATTTAAAAAATATGAAATTATATTCTTTTTTAAAACAATGTAAAAGCAAGTGTTAAAATGTTTGAAATTTCGAAGAACAAATTTTGATCAATTCTTCACGATTTGTTCGGCTAAATAGAATGCTGTAAAGTATATCTATACATGAATTTACGTGATCTTTCGTACGTATAAATAAATATGTAATAAGCGATATTACAGCATGTCAGGTAATGGCAATTCAGTACATCATAATATTATTTTTCAGAAAGTTTCCAGTGTTGTATGAAATGTTTAATGCGTGTTATATTTTTTCGTAATTGTTTCTTTATGTATTTTTAATTGTTATCCAAGATATGTACGCAATTGTACTATATATGATATTCTCTAAGCACCTTCTTTATCATATCAATATTGCATAATACGTGGGTATGTCCGTGCGCGTATGAATACAGGATATTTTGTAATTAGGTGCCAGAAAAGATAAATCTATATATATATATTATTAAATAAAATTATATATTATAAATTTTTTATTTATAACAATTGTTTTTTTTCGGTTGTATTTGCTATATTAACAAATAATGAAAATTAAAGATTTGTATTGTATGAAAAAAAATGTAGAACAGATACACAAGATAGACACGATACGTTTATTAAACATAAATCTGAACAGAGATCGTGCAAGATAGAGATAATAGTAAGAAATTCTATTATGTAGAATCTCCTACACGTATTCCAAATAAGTATTAAAAATCGGTTTTTAAAAATAAATCTCATGAAAAAAATTTTGTAATTTCTATATATTTTTTATGTAGTTTCAAGTTGTTTGCTAGTTGGAACTATACAAAATATCCTGTATATATAAGAGTTAATAATACAGATTTTTATTATTTGAAAATTGTAAATCCATTTTTCATGCAGTACATATGCTTACGTATACGCATGTCACGCAGAATTTTCTCTCTTTCTCTCTCTCTCTTTCTCCTTCCGTCTTTCCCTCTCTCTCCCTCTTCTCTTCTTCCTTCTCAGCGGATGCAGTGAAAAGATATAAAAATAACAAAAAGGAAATTAAATAGTTTGGAGAAATATACATGTACGTAAACACGCACAGTTATACAATCGATTACTTTACTTGATTTCTTCTACTTTTTCTGTGTAATATTATTATTGTTATGACTAATAGACAGAGCGACAGCATAAAAAGTGAAGCTTTAGTATATAAATTTTTTCGCGATTTTGTTAAAAGTATAATTTCGAATAATTCTATTCGATAATATTTGACGCTTAAATCTTTTTATGTATAAATTTTTCTCTCCCTTCACTTTTTTCTCTTTTCCTCTCTTTTTTCTTTTTTTAGTCCTTTTTTCTCTGTCTATCTTTTTACTTCTCTTATATTTTTTTCAATTTTTTTTCATTTTTATTGCTGCATTTTTTCAATCGCGTCATCTATATACCAGAAATTATTACCTAGATATATGTAACAACTTTGCAATGGCAAATTTACCTTTTCATTTTTCTTAACAAACAGAAGTGAATTTATTTCTTTAATACAAATAAATTTTGTCAAACAAAAACTCTTATAAAGTCATGCGAAATGTTATTAATAACGTATGTGCAGAAAAGGACGTGATTCGTAATACGTTATCATTACGTTAAGTTGTAACGTACGCTAAAATATTTTTCTCCTTGATAAATTTTTCACCGTCCGACAGTCAGAATAATGTTAATTAGGTTTACTGTGCCCGTGAGAATTAAAAATAAATCTCATCAAGAAAGAAAGATACAAAAGAAGTGAAAGAATTAACATTATATCGTAAAGAGAAATGTTATTCCTAATCATAAATACATATTTGAAATTCCAAACTTTTCAGTAATTTACCTAGACCATTTTTGAGAGTAATGAATTTCTTGCATAATAGGAGTCTTTCTTATACTTAATATTTCGCGACTACATACTAAAGTTTTACTTATAACGCGCGCGCACTGGGATGTCGTAATAAAAATTCTACACAGTCGTTTACAAATATAAATAATGCAGACTGCGTGTGTTATTTTCTAAAACAGTGCCACTGATAATACGACGGCATAGTAGTCGTACGACTATACGTCTTGGTCCGTGGAGCATTAAATATTAACAACGTCAATAAGAATAATTAATTCGCTCATTAATCCTATTACCTAATAATTCTTGCTTGTTTACGGTGTGAAGTATACAAAAGATAGCAGAAATATGTGCAGTAAGCAGTTTATATTTTTTATCGCCGTCAAACATTCTTTATTGACTTAAAAAAGCTATTAAAAAATGTATTATTATATGTATTATTACGTAGATAACAAAGATAACGTAAACATATTTTTTATTTAAATTAAATGTAAATAAAATATGTACCTTTAACATTGTGTATTTACTAATGTACACGAGATTTAATATTTTGTGTATTTGTAAAAAATATTAATACACGTTCAAACATTTATATAAATCCTCTATTCTTACAAAATTTATATTAGCACATCCAAATTTATTTAGATTGCACACCACAATTTATTTAGATTGGTCTATGCTGGATGTGGTAAAATATTAAGTTTGATTATTTTTAAATACTCTATACTTCAAATTTTTCTCTATACTTCGCCATACGCAATATTCGTTGTGTCGATTGCATGTATGCATTTTTCAAGAGACATTTACACGTAAAAAATCAATATAACTATTAATTAAATATAATATATTAAATCAATAACGGTATTAAATTAAATAACAATAAATTAACAAGAAAAACTCTATTTTTTAATCAACAATAAATTAATTTTAATTTTATGTTTGCATCCCTCTATATTGTTCTATTTTTTGCTGCACTTTTAAGTAATGACAAATTAAGTCATTAACAAATTTGATTGCTATCTGCTTTTTATGCATGAATAATTTATGTATTAATGCGTTTTTATAGCATATTCTGCATGAAAATGTTTTCGAACGTTTTTGTTACGAGTTATAAGAAAGAAAATGTTTTTCGGTTGACAAAACATCCAATAAAAATTTTTATACTGCAAAATGCTTGTTTATCATTTTTGCTTAGACTTTTTAAAATTGTTCTTGCAAATATTATTATAAATATATATTAATCGGGCTCATTAATAAATATCAATTATTTATTTCATTTTTTTTCTTGGTCGCTTATCAACAAAAATCACATTTATTTTTTTTTCTAACTTTCGATACAAAATGTATATCTATGTACATATCAATAAACAACACGATAGAACGATTGTTTCTTTAGAAAATGAAAGTCAGTATCCTGAAAAACTTTATTAAAGAAGAAAGAACATAATATCAGGTTTTGTAAGCTGACGAATGTAGTGTATAGGTGAGTCAGAAAAAGACAGAGATATCATATTCGTAATGAACTTTATATAAATACCTAATATTTGCATATGCTTTGGCTTGAAACTATAGTAATTTTTGCATGAATTATATTGTAATAAAATGAAATGAGATATATTGCTTATATCGCCTATTGTTTGAAATAAATTTCGAAAGCTTATCTCACAATCAAACAAAATGCTTTATAGTAACGCTGCCAGAAAAGGCGATACGAAAAAACTGCTAAATTTCGGTATTCCTTTTAAATTGCGAAAATCAAAGGTGCCTTTGATATTAATCGTTTCATAATCCATCGATTATTACATATTAGTATAGAAATAAA